GCTGGCCACCCTGTGCCCGGCTCTCCCCGCCCTCAGCGGGGGGGGCCCCGGCCCCGGCCCCGGCCCCGGTCAGGGTCAGGTTGGACGGGGCTGCGAGCGGCCCCTTCCCACCCAGACCCTCCCGGAATCCCGGCAGGAGCGGGGGGATCCCACCGGCGCCTCCCGTCCCCTCCCCAGGAATCCATCGAGACCATGAGGAGCCGCCTGGAGCGCAGCATCCAGATGCAGACGCTGCTTCGAGCCTTCGAGGCCCGAGACCGAAACCTGCAGGAGAGCAACCTGGGCCGGGTGAACTTCTGGTCGGCCGTGAACTTGACCCTGCTGGTGGTGGTGGCGTTCCTCCAGGTCTACCTGCTGAAGAGCCTCTTCGAGGACAAACGGACGGCGCGGACGTAGACGGGGGGGGGGACGGAGACGGGGACGGCGGCGGAGGAGGGCCGAGCTCCGGCCGCGGCTTCTCCCTCCCGGCCGGGATTAAACCTGCCCGGCTTTGCAGCGCGGTGGCTCGGAGGCGATGCGAACCCCGGGGGAGGGAGGTTTGGGGGCGACCCCGGGGCGCTGCCCCCCACGCTCATCCCCGAGGGGCCCCTGCTGAGCGGGGGGGGGGGACGTAGACGGGGACGGCGGCGGAGGAGGGCCGAGCTCCGGCCGCGGCTTCTCCCTCCCGGCCGGGATTAAACCTGCCCGGCTTTGCAGCGCGGTGGCTCGGAGGCGATGCGAACCCCGGGGGAGGGAGGTTTGGGGGCGACCCCGGGGCGCTGCCCCCCACGCTCATCCCCGAGGGGCCCCTGCTGAGCGCAAGGAGGAGGCCGAGCACTAAAAATGCCCAGAAAAGGGAATTTAAGCGGCAAATCGCGCCCGTAAACGGGGGCGGCGCTGGGCTGGGGCAGACGGGGAGAAATGCTCCGGAGGGGGGGAGCGCTGGGGGTGCTTTAGGCGCCGCTGCCCCAGGGAGGAAAAGAAAAAAATTCCTTCGGTGAGCGCGGAGTTGCCCGCAACTTTGGCGGTGCGGCGTCACCGGGGGCCGGAGCCGGTCCCGGGCCGGGGGGGTTGGTTATCGATCCCCGAAATCACAATTTCAGCGCGGCGACGGCGGCGGAAGAGCCCAGCCCGGCTCGGGGAGCCCCTCGCTGCCCGGCAAGGGGGGGGTTTCGCACCGGGGCGAAGCAGCCCGGGCCCGGGAGCCCTTTTCCAGCCCCGCGGTGGGAGAGGCCTCGCGCGGCTGCGTCCCGGCGGCGTCGGGATGGGAGCGGAGCAGCGGGGCCGGCGGAGCTCAGGACGGCCGGGGCGGGGCGGCGGGGGGCCGACCCCCGGGGGGGTGGAAA